CCTTTTTGTGCAGAAGAGAAAGTAACATAACTTATATAATATTTATTCTCACTTGCTTACATATCTGCCGCTTTGCTGCAAACTGTGATGATACATTAGTTACACCAAAATTCCATATATTAGTATTAAAAATGCAGACCTAGAATAAAAGAACCCTGAACATAATTAATGGAGACATGCAGGTGTTATACAATGTTTTCAAAACAGTTTCAAAGTAAGTGCACGTACTACTCTAAATCAGTCTTTTGTGATTATTGCTGAGGTTTTTGATGTTTTCTCTTTAATAGATCTTACCTGAAGACATTGTATACAGAAAAGCAATCAGGGTGGCAAAGTATTAATATAGCCAGCATCCTTTGCTTCACATATGTTGAAAAAAAATAGAAAACTAATTACCTATAGTTAATCTATGGCTAAATTATTTAATTAAGTTGTATTCTTGAGCAATAAATGTAGAAAAATTCCCTTTTAGATATTATTTCCTATCTCTGGTGTATGATAAATATTGAGACACTAAATCATCTGAAGAATGTGTATCATTTTTTTCATGAATTCTATCTGCTTTTAGATATAAGCTTATAATATCACACTGTGATGTTAGCTTATAATATCACATTGTGAAAACGTTGTTTTGACTTTTTGGCTAGGAGATAACTCAAACATTTGGATATTATTTTTGCCTGCAAGGGTCCAGGTTTGAACTCTGTAACCTCATGTCCACTAAGAACTGCTGGTACTGACCATTACTAACCAAATCAGAAATACTTACTGGGAACTGTCAGATAGTATACAAAAACAAAAATTACCTTGGACTTATTTAGCATCTTTTACTTGAAGGGAAAGAAATTGATTAGAATATCCCTACCTTCTAATAAAACAAAATTACATTACTTAAAACATTAATTTTCTCAGAGATGTGCTTTAAATTTAAATGTGAAAAAAACGATACTGATAAACTAATCATAATTCTCATTGCTTTAGCTTATATTTCTAGAAGAAATTGATTAATTACTGGATTACTATAACCTCCCAAAGTTGAACCAAGAAGAGATGAAATACCAAATAGACCTATCACTATCAAGGAAATTGTAATGGTAATCAAAAATCTTCCCCCAAATAAAAACCTAGGTCCAGGTGGTTTCACTACTGAATTCTTCCAAACCTTTATTTTTTGAATAGTAAATGATTTAATATTTTATTTTTATTTTTAAAATTTTTTAATTTTCTTTTATTTATTTATTTATATATTTATTTTTTAATTTATTAGTGAAACACCATGAGTTACAGTTGTAGACTTACAAATTTTTGTGCTTGGGTTTCATTTACGCAATGATTGAGTACACATCTCTCCACCAGTGCCCACTATCCGCCACCAATGATCCCAGTAAGCCTCTCACCCCCCCACCCCATCTCCCTACCCCATTCCCCCACACCCTGCCCTGCATCTGTGGCAGGGCATTTCCTTTTGCTCTCTCTTTTCTTTAGGTAGTTGTTTGTAATAGAGGTATTGAATGTCCATTGTGTTCGGTGTATAGTCTACTTTCAGCATCTCCCCTCCTGAGCGACTCCTTCAAACACCATTTTCTTGGTGATCCCTTCTCTATCTGAGCTGCTCCCCCCCCCCCCCAACATGTGCTGTTGGCTTCCAAGACATTGAGCAAACCTCCTGGTACTTATCTCAAATAATCTTGGATGTTCTTTTCCCATTCTGTTATTTTACATTCCACAGATTAGTGCAACCTTTCTATGTCTGTCCCTCTCTTTCTGACTCATTTAACTTATGATATTTTCCACGTAGATCCATTTGTGTGCAAATTTCATGACTTCATCTTTTCTAACAACTGCGTAGTATCCCGTTGTGTAGATGTACCAAAGTTTCTTTAACCAGTCATCTGAACTTGGGCACTGGGTTTTTTTCCCAGATTTTGGCTATTGTAAACAGTGCCACAATGAACATACAAGCACAGATGTCATTTCAACTATACTTTTTTGCCTCTCTAGGATATATTCCCAGGAGTGGTATTGCTGGGTCAAATGGGAGCTCAATTTATAATTTTTTGATAACCATCCTTAATGTTTTCCAAATGGCCTGAACCAGTCGGCATTCCCACCAGCAGTGAAGGAGAGTCCCTTTCTCCCTACATCCTTTGATTCTCTTGAGATGGAAGTGGTCATTGAAGACCTAAACAATCAGGGCATTCATACTCAATACATCAAGCTCCTCTGTGAGCTGGATTACGAATTCACTACCAGGATCTCACCATTCTACAAAGAAGTGATCATCGATGTCAAGAGAGGGGTTCAGATACCATTTCAACAAAACTCTTCATTCCACCCCCGAGAACGTCATGCGATGACTGGAATGGGAAGGAATGGGAGTGAAGATAGGCTGTTGGCAATTACACCACCTCCACTTTGCTGATGACAATCATTCTAATAACACCAAACATTAACTAAGCAGCACAAATGCTGGCCGACTTTGACCGTGAGTGTGGAAAGGTCAGTCTCTAGATGAATCTCACGAAGACAATGTTTATGAAAAACAGTCTCATTCCGGACATTCCATTTGCTTTCAACCAAACAACCATATCTGAAACATGACAAATGACCTGGCACCTGAGTAGCACACAGAAAGAGAGCGTCTTGGAACGCCTTCAAGAGCATCATACAAATAGCTAAGAGGATGAAGAACCTCCGATTCCGGGCACATCTCTTCGATTCCACTCTTCTCCTTGCATTAACATACGCCTCAGAGACCTGGGCCCTACGAGAACAGGATGAGAATGCTATTCGGGTCGCCCAAAGAGGAATCAAAAGAGCTACGCTTGGAGTATCATGTTTCACTCAAATGAGAGAAAGAATCTGGAGTTCTGACCTCCATTGATGGTCAAGAATCAGGGACGCTGTCTCCTTTGCCAAGGCATCAAAAATCAGATTGGCTGGACACCTAATGAGATTTGGAGACAACTGCTGGACTAGAGCCATTACCAGCTGGATTCCATAGGACGTCAAGAGACCATGTGGCCGCCCACTTACAAGATGGTCAGGCTTCTTTGTCAAGACCCCGAATGATCAATTTGAGGTTCTTCATGTTCCTAGAACGAACAGATGCCATTGGGCTACACTAGCAAACCACAGGGAAGAATGGAGATGTTACTGGAGACCACTCGAGCAAATCAATGATTAACAGGAAGTCAAGTGATCAAGCGTTTTTTTTGATCTGCATCTCCCTAATGTTTAGTGATATAGAACATTTTCTCATATGCCTTTTAGTCATTTGGAAATCTTCCAAACCTCTAAAGATGATTGATTGCCAGCTTTTCAAGCTGGTAATATTTTTCAAGATTTTCCAGGAAAGTGAAGAAAAAAAAAACACTCCCAAGCAGCTTCTATGAGGCACATATCACATTGATACCAAAAGTAGACAGATAAACCACAAAAAAAATGGGGAGAAGAAATGATGAGAAATTTCTTCAAAGAAGAAAAAATTCAAATTTCTTTGAAGAAATTTCGAATGGTCAAAAGTCACATGAATAAATGCTCTCCATCACTAGTCATCAGGGAGATGCAAATCAAAACAACAATGAGATATCATCTCACACCACAGAGACTGGCCCACATCCAAAAGAACAAGAATCACCAGTGTTGGCTCAGATTTGGGGAGAAACGAACTCTCTTTCATTGTTGGTTGTAATGCTGACTGGTTCAGCCTTTTTGGCAAACAATACCAATATTCCTCAGAAAACTGGAAATTGAGCTCCCACTTGAAGCAGCAATACAAGTTCTCAGAATATACCCTTGGATCCAAAATCATACAGCAGTTACGATATCTGCACTCCCAAGTTCATGAGTTCATGGGCTAGAGCGATAGCACAGTAGGTAGGGTGTTTGCCTTGCATACGGCCCACCCGGCAAACCAGAGTTTTATTCCTCTGCCCCTCTCAGAGAGCCTGGCAAGCTACAGAGAGCATCTAGCCCGCATGGCAAAGCCTGGCAAGCTTCCCGAGATGTATTCAATATGCCAAACACATTAACAACAAGTCTCACAACATTACCAGGCCCACTGGAACAAATAGATGAACAATGGGAGGACAGTGGTACAGTGTTACAGTGCCTCAGTTCATGCAGACTTTAGAAACAATTTGAGCTCCCCAGAAGAGACGAATGGATCAACAAACTATGGCATAGCTCATAAAGAGATTGGCACAGCTCAAGAAAGATTTCTCAAGTAGGGGGGCTATAAAGAAATTTACCAGGGGAACATAAGTAGGAAGTAAGAGCAAGAGAAAGAGTTTTCAGTTGGAAGCTTGCCACTGGTATGGGTATGGGTGTAGAATAAATTCAGGAAGGTAATACTAGGAGAATTATGGAGGGGAAATATGTCTGTCATAGAGACAGACTTGGGAACAGAGGGAAACGGGATGTTGTGTAGGGGAGTTTTTTCTGGTGAAGGGACGGGTATTGGAACATTGTATGCCTGAAATTCAGTCACAAGTAGCTTTATAACTGCAATTTTCAGGAAACCAGCAAAAATAAATACATTTCTTAAAACAGAAATAAAACAAAAACTGTTCTGTGAATTTTTAGAGTAATTTAAATTTTTGTAGAAAATTAAGATTTATATAACTGCTGAGAACAGAGTAAAAATTTCCTTTCAGTTTTTTGAGTTAAAAGGTAAAGGCCCTCCCGTTGATCGTCGATTTGCTCGAGCGGGCCCAGTAACGTCTCCGTTGGAGACTTTTGTTGTTACTGTGTCTAGCATATTGAATACTCTCGGTAGCTTGCCAGGCTCTCCGAGAGGGGCGGAGGAATCGAACTCGGGTCAGCCAAGTTGGCCGCTTGTAAGGCGAAGGCCCTACCCGCTGTGCTATTCACTCTTTGAGTTACATGTTATTTCTGATATACTCTTAAATACAATTCTTTTGCTGCATTTGGAACTTGGACAAATTAAGTTTCAAACATTCTTTATGTCATAATAATTTTATTCATAATTATTACAGGCTACTTGGAATATTTGTCTCACCTAAGAAGTTTTCGTAATGAGAACATGGACAGAATTTCAAGGTAAGCATATGTAATTCAAAAAAGTCGTCTTGGAAAATTAGCATCATATCCATGAATTATTTTTTAAGATTTTTCATGGGAATGACCTTCCTTTTGGACAAAGAAAAAATATGTTACATGTTGAAACCCTGAGAAGAGTATTTGTTATTTTGGATGTCTTTATTTATATTTCATTTCATTTCATCATCCTGTTAATCGTCGATTGCCTCGAGCAGGCCCCAATAACGTCTCTTTCATCCTAGCCCTGAGATTATATTCACGGCTCTTTAGGAGAATGAGACCCATCATTGTTACTGGTATTTGGCATATTTGGTACACCACGGGGAGTTTGCCAGACTCTGCCCTGTGGGCAGGCTACATTCGATAGCCTGCAAGTTTGTCCAAAGTAGGAATGAGATAATAAGATGTCATAAAAATAAAGTTTTGATTCGCGGCCGCGCGGTTCCAGGATCTGCATTTATTTATATGGCACAAAACTCTATTTTTTCCTTCTTTTTCTTTTTAAATTCAAAGTAGCTATATAAAAAGAGAGCAAAAGTGACAAGGAAGATATCTTTAATATTTTAAAATTTAAAATTTGAAGGTGTATTTCAAAATTGTTTATGCCTTTAGATAGCCATAGAAAAATTCATAATATTATGAATAGGTTAAATGGTTCCAGTTTATACAAAGCAAACATTATTATAAAACTAAATAATATAATTTTTCCCTGCATAAACTCATAATTACTTTTAAGTTGTGTTATTTTAAAGTGGTGTCAGCAATGAAAAACTCGATTTTTCTGTTCTAATTAAAATAAATTAAGTATTGGTAAAGGGAAATGTGTTTGATATTTGCATGACTGAGACCTAAACCTGAAAGCTTTGTAACCTTTCCCACAGTGATTCAATAAATAAATAAATTAAAAAAACAAAACAATAAAATAAATAAATAAATAAAATCAATTAAATGTCCAAATTTATTTGAGAATTTAATTTAAATTTAATTACATCTTACTTTGATATAAAAGATAAATAATGACTGAAATCCTACAATATTTCCAAATTTTCAGACATATTTTAAATGATTCTAAAATTCCAAGAAATAAAATCACCATAAATATTTTGGGTATAAAATTGAAAAACAAAGAAGGTACACAGTTTGAAGACTTCCTCAAATGCTTGATGAGAAGGCAGCTGGGATAGAGATGGGAAAATCATGAAGAAGATAGACAGTTGGAAATGATCACTCTGGGTTAGAAACTGTGTGTGGGGAAATTAGGTAACAGAACCAACATGATAACCTCTCAGTACCTGTATTGCAAACCATAATGCCCTACCACCCCACTGTGGAGAAGAGGGAGGGAGGGGGAGAGAGAGAGAGAAAGAGAGAGAGAGAGAGAGAGAGAGAGAGGAGAGAGGAGAGAAAGGGAGGGAGGGATGGAGGGAGGGAGAGAGAGAAGCAGAGACAAAGACAGACAGAGAGACACAGAGAGACATAGAGACAGAAACAGACACAGAGAAAGATAAGGAAAGTTCCTACTATACAGAAAGGCAGGGGGGAGGGTGGCAGGAGGAAAACTGGAGACATTTGTAGTGGGAAATGTACACTGTGGAGGGATGGCTGTTGGAACACTGCATGACTAAAACCTGACCATGATCGGCTTTGTAACTCTGTATCTCATGGTGACTCAAAAAAAAAAAAAGAATTAAAATTTAAAATAAATGAATAAATAAAACTAGAAAAAAATCACCATGGCAACATGATTCTAAAGAAAACATATTTTATAGCATAAGACACCTAAAGTGTAAATGTCAGAAATCAGTAATTTGGAGATTCTTGCTCTTTGAAAAATTTTATATACTTGGAAGAATATTTAAGCACATTAAATCTTGGTTTAGCAAATATTAGCAAAACTATGTTTAGTTGGAAATAAATGTATTTGCCTATCTACAAAATACCTACAAAGTATATCATTTTTTGAATAATTATTGACTTTAATATGAATATATTAAAATATAATTATTTTTGCATTTACAAGTATATTAAATGTTCAAATTATATTTGTGCCGACATTTAAAATTTTTAAATGACCAACATATATTAAAATATTTTGCTTTGGTTCATTATTTTGTCAAATACACTACATGCTATGTAGTTATGTTTCCTTTGATCACCCACTTTCCTGTGTGCTAGACACCAAAGTTTCATAGAATCTTAGTCTTCAGAACTACCAGTCTCCATTTCAAGCAAAAGAGAAGAATGAGAGAGTGAACTCAATGAATTGAGTACAAGCTCTGCATGCTGTGTGACTCACTCACTGGGTTTGATTTCCTTCACTGAGCGATCCCCTGGACACCATTGGAAGTCACTCTGAACATAACTGACTGTGAGCCCTTAAAAAACAAAATAAAATAGGATTCCCTTCCATTCTAATTACCACAAAAATCTTTGTTTTCTAGTAGATTATTAATGACAATAATCTCATATCCAAAACTGATAATTCAATAATCTGATTCCTAAAATATTGCTGAAGGCATAATATTATCTCCCAGCAAATCTGTATTAACTCTTCTTTTGTAAACTTTTGTTTGTTCAGCATTAGTCAAGAAAATTACATTAAATATACTGGAAAATTATATTAATACAATAAATAAGAGTGATGATTATCTAATATGGGTCAAAATATTCTTTAATTGGCTAAAGTATAATATCCTTAAACATATACACATCTGTGCTGAGGCAGCTTATTTTCCAAAGGTATAGAACTCTAATCGAATAATTTGTCATATGTCTTTTAGAATATTAATAAGAATAAAAGGAAGTGATCTTATATATAATTGAATTATTAAGAATTTTATACTTTATTTACTTATTTATTTTGAGGGCCCCCTGTTGGAGTACATGGAGCTTAGGTTTATCAGGTTACACCCATCACAGTGCTCCCGAGTCATTCCCATTACTTTGTCTGTCTGTAACTAGTTCTATGCTCTCTTGCCCAACCAATTCGTAAGGTCTCATCCTTCTTAGACACTGAAGCTGTACTGTAAGTTAATAGTGCCTTTCTCCTGTCCTTATGTCTTTTGAGCAGTTTACTTTAATGCAATGTCCTTTTGTATAGATACAGGAAGACAATTAATTAATATTATGCTTTATAACATAGGATTTAATTGGCTTTGGATATTATTCACTCCTGGGCATCTGCCTTCTCAACTTAAGCCTCAGTTGCCCTCACTTCCTAGCACCCCAAGGGCAGAGTCCCGACGTGGGACTGGATGGAACCAGGGCAAGCCAGGTAAGTTATGTGCTACCCTGGCATAGCGATGGGCCAGGCCAAGGTACCACGGTTCTTAATTATAAGTTAGAGTTTGATCATAGGCAAATGCTCTCATGATCCAAAAGTAATGACGAGACTAGGACCCTGCTGCTAAGAATAGGAAAGATATCTGGCCTGAGCACTGCCGTCTGAGATTGAGATGGCCCTGGGAGAGCAATTCTATAAGCTCAAGGTATTTCTTACTGTGTCCATACAAAATGATTAATATTACGTATGCTTATGTTGGTTGGACAAGGAGAGGAGAAACACGTCCTAGAAGCAGTTTTCCTTTGTGTACTGACTAGCTTGGATGAGACTGAACTTTCTCCCCTTCAAACTGCCTTCAATAAATGATTTCAGTATATTGAGATCTCACAGGTACCTAGCTGGCCTTAGGTATGCAGATTCCAGGTGCTAAACCAGGCCTGATCTTTGGGATGTAGATGCCTGGCTCCAGGCAGGCTGATGTAGATTCCAAGCTCTAGAGGACTGGTCTTTGTTGTGCTAATCCAAGTGCTTGTAGCTTGTAAGATGAGGCCAGGTTTACTGGCCTGCAGATGTAAAGAAACAATGTATGTTTTGCCACCTCAGTGTTCTTTCTGTAACTCCTTTTGATGACATCACTATATTGCGCCCTTTAGAGGTACTATGATCTATATAAGGGAGATTTCAGGGCTCTGGGGGGGGAGGACACGTGCATCAGAGAACCTGGGAAGATGGGGCTGAGGACAGAAGCTGAGAGAACAAAGGCGCACGTGCTTGAGAGATCCTGGGGCCTCCATGACATACATTTCTTCCCTGTAATAAACTGCTGCTAAGACCAACCAGCCTGGCCCCCGTTTCCTTCCTTCTCCTGACCATCGCCATCGACCTCCGTGGAGTGGGGAAACGGCCTGACCACTGGCCCTTTTATTTTTTGTGTGATTACACAGCCTCCAAGAAGTGCTCAGGGGTACTGGAACTCTATATGGTCACATTCAGCTTTACTTTAGGGGCGCTAGTGGTTCAGTGATGGAGTCAGTAAAGTATTAGAATCCAGCAATATGGCGTTTATCTGTATTTCAGAGGTTGAGATGGTCATCAGGGATAAATCCTGAAGTGGTTGGAGATCACCCAGGATGCCCTGGTGGCACTCAAGGATTCATGCAATCACAAAACTTCAATAAGTCTCATGCTCTACCCATTGATCTAACCCCAATATTCTCAGAACATTAATACTTCTCAGGAATAACAGAAGTTTAGAATAGAGGAGAAAAGTTTAAAACAAAGTCACATGTAAAAATCGGGCAGAGAGATAGTATAACAAGAGGGTGCCTTCCCCAGACTGGATATGGCCTCCCATATGGTCCCCTGAGCATTGTCAGGAGTAATTTCTAAATGCAGGACAAGGAGTAACCTCTTTGCATCAATGAGTGTGACCCCAAAACAAAACACACATATCATATGCAAAAAATAAGAGCAAATAAAACAATGTCAATTTTGTTCAGCATCATAACCTCCAATTCCATACAAGTTGACAAAAACTTCATGAATTTATTCATTGGGTGCTGCATAGTATTCATATATATAATATGAATTATATTATATATACTATGTATTCTTATGTATATTAATACTGTTAGAACAAATCTTTCTGAGTTCTTAGTGCCATAAGACTTAGTGCCATAACTTGCTTCTATGATACATATAGGGCAAGAGACTTTTATAGATTATGTATTGCCAAAATTGGAGTTAAAATTAAGGACATTAATATTTTAATATGCCATCCGACAGCCTTTATACTATACTAGAGATCAAAATAAAACACATTTAATTCCTTATAAAGTGGTTTAGCTATAATGTTACATTTGGCAATAAAGATCTACAGAACCTCATCATTTCTGGAAAGGAATTTACTTTCTAAGTTGAGGAGTTATGAATTTAAAATAATATTTTTAAATTGTTGGGCAGAGATTGAACTTCCGGATTAAGTATACATATCCTAAATTTATATTTAACCTTTTCCTTAGAAGGAAAGATTTTATATCTCTACTTTGGATAATCTATTATTTACTGAGAGGTTTTATGTGTTGGCTAAGGTCAACCAAGTGACCTTCATTCTAATAAGAAAATAGTTATACCTGTTACAAGGATTGGTTAATGCAAAGATGAAAAGAACAAGTAAGCATGGTAAGTCAAAGGTATCCTTGAGCCATGCAGGAGTCTTTCTCATCACTCTCTAGGGGTGTAGAGAGGTCTTGGATTCCAAAGATTTTTTGCTGAGAGTGAAGCCAAGTCAATGATCACAGATCTGAACAATCTTTGCTTTCCATAGTAGGTACATTTCCAGTTTTCTTAAACTGACCTGCCTTTAGAGTCACCCTGAAGACTATATGGTAGTAATTGTAGCTTATTATTTGAGCCTGCTCTTGTCAGTTAAATTCATTCATTTGGACTATTTCCCTGTAGTGGGTTTTGAGGTCCAATATTTGGCTTTTGAGATTCCCCATCTATATTGGGGGAAAATCCTACTGCAGATAAAAAAGACATCCTTTCTGGATTTATGCTATCCAACATTATTGCCATGTGGTAAAACTGTTAAATAGAAAACAAATACTTCACTTTGCTCACCATAAGATGTATCTATCAGTTTGCTGTTGGTCAAAAGAAGTGTTAAAATCTGAAGAAGTAAAACATAGCCCGGTATCAATACTATATTTGTTTAGTCTACTTAGTTCCATGTTGAAAACCTTGATTTCCTATAACTTTTCATTTACCATGGCAAGTTTGTAGACTAGAATATTTGTTAAAGACTTCATCCTGCAGACCTCTCTGAACTCAGTGGTATTAGAATAATTTTTTAAATAGCAAAAAGACTTTACAATGTTCAAAATTAAAAATCTTAGCATACATAACCCATGAACTTTTGCTCCCTATTAATAATTCAAGAGAAAGTACAAGATTTTAAGAGTTTTATCATTAAAATTTGAATTTTTAATGAAAGACAGGTATAAGCATTTTTAAATACATAGAAGACCATCAGAGAAGCAAGGATTTCATATGTGTATATAAAACTTATCTCTCTTAAAGACAACACTAGATTACATAGAAATATTGTGGAAAAAATTGACATAAAACATATTTATTTTAGCAAAAATGTGTTTCTTCTTCTATCATATTAATTAAAAATGTAGTCAGCTTAGTTCCTGATGCCCCGTTCGCTCTCAACAGAACGACCATCTCTGAATGCAACAGCTATGTGTACCTAGGTCGAGAAGTCAACATGACAAATGACCTGGCACCCGAGCTACGCAGGAGGAAGAGAGCGGCTTGGAACGCCTTCAAGAACATCGAAGAAATAGCTAAGAGGACAAAGAACCTCCGGCTCCAGGCACATCTCTTTGATTCCACTGTTCTTCCTGCATTAACATATGCCTCAGAGACCTGGGCCCTGCGCAAACAGGATGAGAACGCTATTCAGGTCTCCCAAAGAAAAATAGAAAGAGCTATGCTTGGAATATCACGTTTCACTCAAATGAGAGAAAGAATCCGGAGTTCCGACACCCGTTGACGATCAAGAATCAAGGATGCTGTCTCATTTGCCAAGGTGTCAAAAATCAGATGGGCTGGTCAAGTAATGAGATTTAAAGACGACAGCTGGACTAGAGCTGTTACCGACTGGATTCCACGGGATGTCAAAAGACCACGTGGCCGCCCACCTACCAGATGGTCAGACTTCTTCATCAAGATCATGAACGATCGGTTTGAGGCTCTTCATGTTCCCAGAGCGAACAGATGCCATTGAGCTACAGTAGCACGTGACAGGGACAAATGGAGATGTTACTGGTGCCAGCTCGAGCAAATTGATGACTAACGGGAAGCTAAGTGATTAAGTGATTTAAGTAGTCTGAAGAAGTTGAATACAATAATTTCCCATATATATTTCTCATATATGTAATGTAGCACTGTAGCACTGCCCTCTCATTGTTCATCGATTTGCTCGAGCGGGCACAAGTAACATCTCCATTGTGAGACTTTTTGTCTCACAATGAATTGAATACGTCACGGGTAGCTTGCCAGGCTTGCTGTGAAGGCAAGATACTCTCGGTAGCATGCTGGGCTCTCCGAGATGGGGATATGTAGTGTATACATATATACATACATATACATGTATATGTATATTGTGTTTGTGTGTATATAAATGTTTATATATATATTGCTAATACTTAAGTCAAAGAAACACTAGCATATATTTTTAAGTGGCTCATTTTGTATTTTTTTCTTAACAGTCTATTTTAGCAGTTTCGTTAGCAAATGGCTAATAAGTTTCCTGGGTTGGTTGTTCCCTCCAGGAGGGAAGAGTGTGAACAGAAGCTAAAAGGAAACCTTACAAAGTGTGCCTTGTACCATATCTTTGCCTTTCCCAATCACCCTTATTTAGAAATTGAGGTCTAGTTTCCAAACATTTGTGTCCTTCCTAGTAGTTGCCTATGGGATGAGAAAGAAACTATGAAAAGGTTGGAATAAACTTCAATCCATGCTTGCAGAAACATGGAGTCTATAATAGTTGCAGGGAAGAAACTACATGAATACTCAGAAATGGGAAAGCATTAAAAGTTGCTTGAGAATCACTGAATTTGTCATCTCCATCAATGATCTCTGCCTTCAACCATAGGCAGCTGTGAAAGAGCAAAACGAATTTTGTACAGCAACTACTGCCTCTCTATTCATGAGCCTTAAACTCATTTTTTTCCTGGTGGGGATTCCTACTCCAAAATTTGCATGAGATTATTTTGGATTAAACTCAATTAATGACTTACACATGCCACCCCAGGGAAACCTAGGCTCTGACCAGGCTTCCTGTGTGCCCAGTTGGAGATGCAATATCTTGCCATTGAGTCCAGGGAGAGAAAATAATTCTGCC